GTGGGTGCGAGTGCCTCGCCCTTGCCACAACAGGGAGTTCGAAAGACTGCGCTCGTTGGGACTCTACCTGGAGTGGACCGATAAGAACACCGGGACCTGGCGCAGAGCTCCGCTGCAGGTCACTCAGGCGAGGAAGCACTCCCAGGGGGAGTGGTCTCAGCTCATCCAGGGAATGACCTTGCTTGCGGCAATCACCCAGACCACGTACACAGGCGCCCCGGGTTGGTTTCCTCCACCTGATCGGGTGACTGTCCGCACGGTCAACATGGACCACCTGAGGCAGGAAGCCTGGCTGGACCAGAACCCGGTACCTGGGAAGGTCAAGAGTTGGCCCGCGAACTCTTCGCTGGCCTACAACACGCAGCGCATCCGCGATGCCATACCTGCTGAGTGGGTCAACGATGTCATCATCGGTCGGAAGCCCGCCCCAGGCGCCCAGGCAAACGCTGTAAAGGGCAACAGATGGTGTGATCTTTGCATGTCATTCTTCGATGTAAGTGTTCCATCTTCCTCTCCGTCTTTATCTTTGTCTCCGTCGTCCCCGTTGTCATCTTCCTCTCCCTTGTCTCCTTTGCCTCCGTTGTTCCCGTCGTCTCCGTCGTTCCTGTCGTCTCCGTTGTCATCTTTGTCTCCGTCGTCTTCGTCATCATCCTCGTCTCCGTCCTTATCCCTGTTTTCATCCATGTAGAAAGATAGACCACAGCTAACTCCGAGCAGACGACTGCCTGCGATTACAACGAAGCTGCGGGCACCTGCAAAACATGTGAAAGGTTTCACAGGCCTTGCACATGGACGAATGCCAAAGGCACTCGGTTGTCTGAGCTGCTGATGACCGATGGTCCCCTCCAGGCCCTCGGCTGTCCGACGAATGTGCAGGGCACCCAGGACAAGGCTTCCGTCCAAAAGAAGCTTGACAAGGTCACTCACTATGAAGCGATTGACACGCCGCCAACTGCCAATCTCGACGAGGCGCTCCGAGTTTCCAATGAAATCAGCCGCGATGCCACTGAGTAAGGGGCGATGAGGCTTCGTGACTCATCATGGCTCGGGAGAGGGATCAGACCCCGCCTCTGACCCCGTGTGGACGAGCTTGGTAATGTCGCGAACGAGAGCCCAGGGTCTTCTGGAGGCTAGGACGTGGTTCAGCGCGGCTCGCCGAACTTGCAATGGAGTGGAGGAGGGGCTAGAGAACAAATAAGGGTAAACAGAGAGTTGCGAGGTGATAAGGCAAATTCAGGCGGTGGGAATGGAGATTGTACTAGTACCAGTTATAATAGTGCGCTGGTGGCCACAGCCTGCCATGAAGGCTCGATCTGGCTGACGGCCACAACGTTCTGTTTACTGGCGAGTGGCTCCAAATGCTGACTGACCGTGACTGATGTTCGACGTCAGATGCTGCAATCAACAGAGGAGCCTGACTGCCTACCAGAGAAAGATGCTGTTATGGATTGAGATAGGGCAGTTTTACGGGTTGGTGAGCTCGCGAGACCTGTTGTAAAGGAGCAAGCTTGCGAACTGGAAGATGGAAGAGGTGCGACGATGCTCTCTAGCGTACTGGTTTCGTCCACAAAGTCGACGAGTTTGTGTGCCTCTCGTAGGCTGTGTCGTTGCGCTTATCAGCCGTGTCATTCCTCCCGGGATCTTCGTAGCTTTTAGTTTCGCGATGATCTCCTTCTGATTTGGAAATTGAGACGGCGATAATCCTGCATTTTCAACCACAGCATCTGCCATCTCGCCATTGGCGTTCCTCAACTGTTTCTGTCTTCCCTTCAGAAGACCATTTCAAACACATCATCTGACATTCTGACACAGAGACCATTACAGCTAGGTAAGTGCTGGCGTCCGACTTGCATGGGCGGCCGCGCTTCCTAACAGAGCCATCGGGGTTAAGGGTTGGAAGCTTCTTCGGCGTGGTGGGCACGCCAGCGTCTGCCTTCTTGGTGCTGCCCTTGGGGCGACCGCAGAGACATAGGGCTTGGCTGGCTTGGGGTTGTCGCTTTAAAACTTTTAGAGCTACAAGTGGGCGACTCCCAGCAACCAAGGCGGCGAAGAAGGTATCTGAGAGGAGCTATTGGCATGTTTCATTGAGTGAGTGCACCTCGGATCGGAATGTGATTAATCCATTCAGCTCGTCCCGACAGCAGACTCCATATTCCAGCCCCTGGCACCTGAATACCGATCTAACGTCCTCGCCTTCCTGCTCCGCAGTACGGCTCGTCAGCTTCACGGCATGCTCCTCATCTGTTACGCATTAGTTATGCGGCGGTGAAGAATCGGGACTGGTACATACCCAGAGCTCGTCGGTAATTGAGACGCTATGCTTCCAGCATTGTCCTTCCTCTGTCCTCATGGTCAGCGAATGTTTCTCCTGATTGAGGTTGAAATGCTTACCCAGACCCAGATCAACTTGGCCCTCTGTCCACTCTCTTCATATCCGTCTTGACGGTATACACTGATAGCATTAGCCAGTGCGCCATATAAAGATGTACACACTTACTGCTGCTGATGCCGAGTGTCGCTCGCCTGACATCACTCCTTCACAACGGCCGCCTCAGGTCCGGATGAACTCAGCTGAAGCTATTAGCGATATACCTTCTGGTGGTGCATGAACTTACCGGGTAGTAACTGACGACTGTCTTCCATCACTGGCTCCTTGCCGGCTGCTGCGTGGCTCCGGATCTGCCCACCGAAGCCATTAGCCAGTGCGCCTGCTGAGAGTACAAATACACATGGCATTGCTGATTCCCAGTCGTCAGGAGTCGCTTTGTCGAGAAACGGCCACGTTGAATATGGGTATTAGGTTTGCCTGCACTGGTCAGCGATTGTCATCACTGTGGAGAAATTGACACTTGCCTTGTATGATGGTATTCATCTGGTCTTGATCAGACACTCCGTTGTACCTATGCCTGCATCACGTCAAAGATGGGACGAGTGCTTTACTTACCAATATCACGCTCCCACACCATAGTCCAGGATCCAGGATGTGCAGAAACAAAGTGGTGAAAGAAGATGGGGAGGATAAATATATAAAAGTCCAGGATCCACGCATGTCACAGCAAAAGCAAAATGAGACAAAGAAATAAATTTACTTACTGGTCATTCTTGAACTATCTTTCACCTCTTGCGAGGTCTTTTCGACGCCCATACGGGCGTTTCCTCCTCCTCCTCCTCGCCGGGCGAGGTGGTGGTGGTGGTGGTGCTGGGGGCAGCGGCGGCGCTGCTGCTGCTGTCGCTGCTGGACACCGACGAGGAGGAGGGGAGGGAGGAGGAGGGTTGCCCTTCCTCCTCCGGCGGCGGCGGCGGCGGAGACACGGGGCGAGCAGGGAACCCTGTGTGTTGGGGTTCCCCCTCGAATGCCTCTGGCGGCGGCGGCGTGGGCGGCCGCAGGCCTTCATAGGCCTCGGGCGGCGGCGCAGGAACAACAAAGCTGTGCGAGGCCCGAAGAGCCTGGTGCAGGCGTGCCACGAGATTATCGAGATTTGGATAAAACTAGTCAGATGTTAACTCCGTTTTATTCGTGGCCCTTGTTGCCGGTGCTGATGTTGGCGGTCGAAGCCGGCGACTCCCGTGCCGCTGGCGCCCAGGCGTATGGAAACACCAACAGGCGGGGCAGAGGAGGCTCGACGCCCGTTATGGGCACGCTTACAATGTGATTCTCATCGTGGGTCGATGATGATGGCGATGGTGGCGGCGATGGCGATGTTGGGGGTGGTGAGGATGGCGGTGTCGCCGGGGGTGATGCTTCGTTTTGGGCCATTGGGGGCGAAGATGGAGGATAACTGTATGGATCAGGTAACAGAAAGTGAGAAGGAAGGTTTGGAGATGCAGAATGCAGAGAGAAGGTGAGATGTAGAATGCAGAGGGAAAGCGAGAATGGCAAAGAAGGGCAGGGGCGAGAGAACATACGGAAAGAAGAAGGGAGATGGCTGTTTGTCACCTTCTACTAAGTACTAGGTACCTATGTTATGTCTTTCCGCCTACCTGGTACATGAATTAGTAGGGAATTTACAACGCAACCACAGTACCTGTAAGAGAAACTTCAAATGAGCGGCAGATCTCTGCTGGCGGCCCGTATCGGGCCGCCACACCCAACAAGAGCAAGATGAGGCTGGGATGTGTGACGCCCAGAGAAGTACATTCATGAATACGGTTTCGATAATCACTATCAAAGTTCTATTGCTGATCCCAGAGTTTGATGCATGCAAGGACCGGTTCAATCCTGACAGAGCTCACATTCAGTTTACGCGGATGGCCAAACCCTTAGTCACTCCCAATCCCCAAAACGATGATTCAGACCCGGCAGAGTTTTTCTCTGCTGCATACTTATTCTGCAGACTAGTCCGTAGTTGTTTGCCCGCTTGATTGTGTCATTCAGCATGTATCGAGTGAAGTAGCAGTGTCTCTCGGGTTGTTGCACAGCATAGCACATAAGATGAGCGTGTCGGCAGATCAATCGGAGTGCTCATAGCTTTCATTTGAACGTGCAGAGGTTCACAGCGGGCAACATCATAATAAGGATTTCCCAAATGAACGGACCAGCCAATAATGTCGTGGAAAACCCGTGAGTCTGGTTGTTGAGGAAGGAGGCGGGCGGGAAGTGGGTCTCCCACGCAAATCCGGGGTTCATGAGAACCTCATGTCATCGCACCACATCAGTAATATGTCATAGGCAGCAAAGAGAAATCAGGTCCCAGGAAGTTGCAGGACGGTCATACGATGTTTGGAAGTGAGCGTTCCGGATAGTGCTTCAATATGATATATCAAGTGTGTGCGGAGACGAAGAAAAAGAGCAGCGAAGGCAGCTGAGGAAAAGATTGATAGCCTATGTGGAAATAATGGTTGCCGTGTTGCCCACAATACCAGAACAGAGTCAGAAAGAGAATCCAGTGACCGTCAGCCTGGTACTACAGGGTAGCTAGCTTTACACGGTCCCTGGAGCCTCAGAACCGCACAACTTTATATCCCGCAATAGAACACGCATCTTTCAACAAATACGATCCGGTCTGGTGGTCTAGTCGTATGATTCGCCCTTTGGGATTAACTTCACATCTGGGCGAGGTCCCGGGTTCAATCCCCGGCCAGACCCCTTTCTTTTTGATTTTATTATGAATTTTTTTGTTTCAGGTTGATATCGCGCAAGTTGTGATATTGTGGCACGATCCTTGCTTATGGGTGGCGCCAAAGTGGGTCTGTGGGTCTGTCCCAAGCCCAGGCCAGTGCGGGGCATGCGTTCTGCGGTACTTTGGCAAGGGAAAATGCAATACGGCATCATGCCATAGAGTGACGTTTATACGCAGGATGCCCGAGGGTTTGGCCTTGATTCCCAGTAGGCATGGGAAGTATTTTTGTTCCTGTATCAGCTCCACGTCTGTATCTACCAAGATAACCCAGTGGGAGGTGTTGAGGCGCTTGCGGTGGCTGTGGGTAGGCAACTTGTTGGCGGTGGTATCTCCATGAATCGTGACCCGCATCCACCCCTACCCTGAACGGTGATAACATCGTGAACAGGCATGCAATACACTCATCTGTGATAGAGAATACTCCAAAGAATGTGTTGGGTGAAATATTTGATGCTTGGCTTCGGTGCGGTCTATTCCTGACCTGCCCGGTCGAGTGGCTTCGACGGGTTCAATAAATCTTGATCATGGTATTTTGGAATCTTACATCACACTTGCATTTATTTTCGATACGTTAGCACATGCTCGTTTCCCGTGGCAGCCACTTTCGTACGTGAATGTCACGTAATATGTGAAAGTACATCGCGTACTCAACAGTCCTATTCTAGGTGGTTCCAGAAAGCCGCCAGAACTGAAGATGAAGCCACGAAAACCAACCCATTACATTGAAAACGGGGAGGGCTCTGTGACATGTGCTGCATGCGCCATCCCTGCCATATGATATTGCTTTTATTGATAAGATGATATTGCTTTATTAATGCCCCTGCACTGCACCTTATCCTAAACAAGCTTCATGTCGAGCAAATTGCGTAGCTGGCCGGCGCAGGTACGCATGTCCCCCTTTAATGGTTCAGATGGCTTCCCCGCAGCTCCATTTGGCTCCATGTGGCTGCCGACCACTGATGGTCTTTGATTGCAACTGATGGTCTGGTGCGAGGAATGGTGGCATCTGCGTGGTGCTAGCTGCCAAGGCCAGGATCGCGTGTGTCCCAGGCGGATCGGCAAATGCTTAATCTTGGGGCGACGGGGGCCCTTGGGGGGCCCTGAAAGCTTGTGTGGGCAGCCTCGTGTCAGTAGTCGCTGTAACCGCCACGCGTAGCATCTTCGTCACAAGGTCCGTTGTGAGCCCGTCGGGGGCTCTTCCGCCGGCCAGTGCCAGGGCAGGCAGGCCAGGGTAGCTTCAGGTGGTGGCTTCCCAAGTTCCCACATCACGCATCCAGTCATTTCCAACTTCCCTGATTCCCCGTCTCCCAACATCATCTCTCATCCTACAACATCTCCTACCTACGACTTTCTCGTTGCAGCACGTACAGTACCTGTCTAACAGCAGCTTATCAATATGCCTGGCATTCGTACGCCTCCCTCTCCTTATCCTCGACTCGACTAACTCGCCCAGCTCTCCACGCGCTTGACAACCTCAAGGCCAAGCTCAAGGCCGCCTTCAAGAAGAAGGACCAGAAGCCTGCCGCAGAGAAGCCCACCGAGACGACCGAAGCTCCCGCTGCGCCCGCGGAGCCCACCAAGACCGAGACCGCAGCTCCTGCTCCAGCTGCAGCTCCTGCCAGTATGTTACAACACATGATGGATCATTTCTGATTTCTGACCATTTCTAGCCGACGCTGCTCCCGAGCCTGCGGCCGCTCCCGAGCCCGCCCCGGCCGAGCCTACTCCTGGTGAGTAACCCGTCCATGTCAACAAGCAGAGCTGACCCTTCTCCAGCTACCACGGCACCCGCTGAGGCCAAACCCGCTGCCGAGACCGCTCCTAGTAAGCCGCCTGAACAAATAATGCAAATAACCAAACTGACTGTGCAGCTCCCGCCCCGGAAGCCGCTACTGCACCTGCTCCTGCCGAGGCCCCTGCCGAGGAGAAGAAGGAGGAGGCTCCTGCACCTGCCGCCCCAGCCGCGCCTGCCGCACCCGCACCCACCGCCACTGCCTAATCAACCGAGATGCAGTTTTGAAAGCACAATGTACAGTGTGCACGCATTCAGTCGGTGCAATCACGGTGTGAATGGATACCCTGGGGAGGATGCGAGCGATGTCTTATACCCTTGATTTACTTAATAGCTGCTACGCATCCTAATCAACGTATTGTTTATTCCGCATGAGCGTCTATTGCACAAGGCTATCGGGTTTCCTTGGCCCACGGGGCCTTTGTGATTGTGATTTGGGCGTCGCTTGACCCAGATGCCGCACTGCCCTGTGGCCTCCTCAGCGAACCGGTGCTGGGTCCTGGTGGGATTCTTGAGTAGGGAATTCCAGGCCCAGACGGCGGCATCATGGTAGCCTGTGCCCAGGGTGCAGCAGTACCGCTCACGGGAGGTGGGGGCATCGTCGCAGGCTGGTTCGCCATGTGAACCGACTGTACGGGCTCAGAAGCCTCGGGGTCTATATCCCACGAGAAGAGAGACCCAAAAGGGAAATGCTGCACGACTGGAAATTTGGATAGGACCTCAGCGTTGAACATCTTAATCATGCCCTTGTTGATCTTGCCCCAGCCGTCTCGGATACCTGATATATCGAATAGAATGGGGCTGTGTTCCCAAAATGGGCCCTTCTTGACGTCGTTGATGAAGCCGATGCCGGAGAAATACATGTTGGATTGGCGCTGGTCCTCGACGACTTCTGTCTTGGTGACGTCGCTTGGCTTGGGGGCTCCTTTTACCGAGCCTTCAAGAGGCATCGCCTCGTCGTTATCAATGGGCCGTGTGTACTGTGCGGAGCCAAAGATGTAAGGAATGAACGAGTGGTCGTCCAGGCCCCATACTCCATGGGAGCCAGCAGGTTCGAGGTTGTACGTCAGAATGAGCTTCCTCACAACCCTCAGATACCTGTTCCATTTAGCGACATGTCCATTTAGCGATATGCTTGCTGGGAACGTCAGACTTACGGTTCAATGACCCGCAGGACAATCTCGCGTTCCATCTCGCCCCTCTCCCGGTCATCCTTGAAGAACCCGAGCTTCCAGAGACATCCCAGAAACGCCACGAAACTGAGCTCGTGACCTGTGCCGTAGTCGAGTCGCTGCGCACTTCCAAACCCACCAAGCAGGTAGACGGCCACTTCCTCGCGAGCCCCGCCCCCACCAGCTTCGAGGACGTCCCCAAGCGCCCCATGCTGCAGGAGACTGTCGACCTTTGCCTCCAGCAGAGCGTACCACTTTCGGAAGCTCACGTTGCCAAATCTTCGAGGACCTGGATCAGGCGGAGCATCGTTGATGAAGCTCTCGATATCAGAGAGCAGCCGTTGCAAGGCCAAGATGGACGGAGTTGTGGACGTTGCTGAGGTGAGGGGGAAAAGGCGAGGCAAAGGCGAGCCAGCTTGTTTTCGCGGGCAGAGGGCGTGGTTCAACTGAAGCATGAAAACTCCAATATCCCGGTACGCCAGGGAAACGAGGAAGTGAGACACATCCTGTCCTTCGTTGATCCGTTTGACGGGCTTGGCGAATGTGTGTGGCGAGGACAGATCCAAGACCCCCAGGGTAGGCAGCCCGGGCGATTTCCGTTGTGTCCCAGTAGCAGCCATGTCTATTATGTGCTCTGTCCGGATGAACGGGCAATAGCTTAATTATTTGCAACGGGAAAGTAAGTATTACAAGAATGAAACCATGTCGCGGGCACTGTTGCGGGATGGATCTGGTGATCGTTAGTCAGCATGTGACATCAATCACAGACATCACCAAACATAAACATCAATACACCAACACACCAACGATCCGCTTCAAAGTTTATTGGGAAACCACCTAAAAGTATCAAACATACGAATCGAGTGCGTTGCATTGCAAGGAACGGTATAAACCACGCCGCGTTGGTGCCCGATGATCACGTGCACGCGCGTATCGACGCGACACATCCATGCATCCACTTCTACGCGCCACAATTCATACGAATAACTCGGTAAGAGCTTGAGCAAGACATATGGCGTCGTCTCGACAGACGACTGCACAGGCAGTGCGCCGGGTAAGACGTGGTTCACCCGTTCTGGGCGAGGATGATGAAGACATAGCGCTGCGGCGCTCGTCGCATCAGACAGCCGAAACTGGTCAGACGACCAAAAGACCTTTGCGAGCAGGCCATCAATCTGGCAAGAGGCTGAAAGGGCAGCCGCAGAAGGAACCAGTTGAAAGCGGCGAAATGACTGCAAACGATGAGGATGAAGAGTCTGCTCCCCTAGAAGCATCATTCTTCGAAAACATCAACAACAGCTTATTGCCACAGAATGAAACAACGGTGCAGACGGCGGGAAAGCGTGGGAGAGGACGTCCTAGAGGACCCGGGAAGCGCCAAACAACAACCCCAGGCCAATCCAGACAGCCCAGTGCCTCACTTCCAGAAACGAGCAGAGGCCGGCGACACCGAAACAAGGCACGGGCGCCCTATGGCAGTGAATTGTACGAGGTTCCCGGCTCTGATGCCGAAGCCGAAGAGCCGATGGAAGCAGAAGATGATTCGCCCGAAGCACAGCTACTGAGCGAATGGGCCTCAAGCCAAGACCGTCTGACATCGAGCGCAGGCGCCGGAGACACTGGGAATTCAACCAGGTCCAGCAAATCTCAGCGTCGAGTAACCTTTGCGGATGACGAAATTCGCGATGCGGCTGATGGCGGAGATGGAGCAGACGCAAACGAGGCCGTGCCCGAGGAGCCTGCGGAACCAACCATTGCCGTCAAAGTTACTGCAGCCAACCTAAACGGCATCGTCAGTCTTATGCGCCGCAGCTGGTGGGCAAATGGCGACTCATGGGAGGAGAATCTATCCACGCAGCAAGGTGAGAGCAAAAAAGACTGGCTCGGGCGGCACGAGACAGATGTCCGGTGCAAGCGGTGCCGGAGACTGCTCATTCAACTCCATCACTTCTGGACCCTATGCCAGGAGATTCCTCTTATTCATGTTCGAGCCCAAACCGAC